CATAATTTGAAGAGAGAAGCTAAGTTGAGATTGGCATAATTGTTTAGTTAGAGTTGCTTAGGCTTATTAGAATTACAAGCAAATATTGTAATAATTGCCACACTCTAAGCTGGACATATGAACCTTAAAAATTGGGAAAAATAAAAGTGAACTAAACTTATACCTTGAGGCGCACCTATCTTAAACCTCCATTAAGAGCCACAAAACTCACATTTTGATTGCCTCACACTTTTCATTATTGGCATTGACCTTTTTCGATGGTTTTTTATAGGCTTGAACATTATAAGGGTGTTGTGAGGTATTTTAAAGTCAAAACAACCTTAAAAAAAAAAGAGATTTGAAAATTAGATAGAGCAAGTAAAGAGGTATGTTAGTGCAACATGAAGCGTTAAATAAATATATGATTGAAGAACGATCCTAAATCACTCTGATTCACAAAGAATACTGCTAATTTAGAAATCAAATATTCGTTTATTCTTTGTAAAGAATACCAAAAATTTAATCTTGACTGCTAGATCGTTGATTCTAATTGAATACCGATTTAGGACCAATGAATTGGAAGAAATCCAATATTGGGAGAAAATATCTCTCCAATTTTTATTATAATAAAAATTGAACCTTTAATTAAGGCTTACATCCCTTATTTAAAACAAAATAATTATAAAGATTAAAACCTAGATAATGATAAAATTTAAATAATGACTAAATTCTAGATAATGACAAATATTAAAAAGTCCTAATCGAATTAATTCCGAATTTATTCACTGAAAAAATGCTAACTAAAAGATAATTAAAAATTTCAAATTGTAAATAAAATGTAAAACACATAAATAAAAATTGCATAAATTAATTTGAACCATTCATTCTTTCAATCTTGATCATTCTCCTTTGATTGGCAAAGATTCATCCTCTAATTTTATAACATGTTATCATCCAAAGTTTTATAATGACGATAATTTACTTTGTAAATTTACAGGGCACACAACAGAAATTTCTTCGAATGATGGTTGAACTATAACAAGTATCTCAAAATCTACGGACTCTCTTGTATGACACTTAAGTCCAACCTTGATTTTTCTTTAGACACCTATCAGAGACATTGATATCAGGCTCTTCATAGAAAATAGGTGGACCGACATAACTATCATCATACAAATCCACGCATTCTTCAATTTCTTCATCAAAGATCGGGGGACTATCTTAACTAAAATTCAAAGATTTTTCCACGTTTAGATTAAAAGTGACAACAAGAGTTTTCTCCCAATAGAACTTATGCCATTGGATTTTACGAACACCAATTCGTCTCTATCAGGATTGTGGTTGGGCTCTAATACCGCCTGATATAGTGTGAACTAAGGGACGTACAAAAAGAAGAGCCTAAAAGTACATTGATTAACAAAGAATACAATATATAAATCAAATATTCTTTGATTCATCGCAAAGAATATCGAATTTGGGAAATAAAGTTTAATAAATCAAATACAACCAGGCATTAAATAAATCTGGGTGCTTGGTAAATGACTAATAAAGTTTTTGTAAATTTGGGAAGAGGGTTGGAGTTTGTTGATTATTTAACCTAGTTCCGTCTAGGAACAACCTTGTGTTCAAACATTTAAGAAATTTAGGGCTGCAAGTTAGCTTTAGGAGCTTGACTTAAGCTTAGCTGAATTGGAGTGGGCCATTGGACAAAAGCAGAAATTTGTAGGCTCATGAACTTTTTGTTAGTTGTAGGTTTGTAAGATATTAATAGTATTTCATAATGATATTTCACCCCATCACATCATCCTTTTGAAGAAGTAAAAGCAGCACTGATAAAGAACATAATTGAACAAGAACAATAAGTGATAAAGTTTTCTATGGACCAAAAGTTCAGAAATTTGGTCCTTTGTTCATATACGGGTGAAAATCAGTACCATTTTTAGATTGTGGGGTTAGTGCTTGTTTTTCACTTACTCCATTCTCATATATTATTAATGAATTCTACTGTTTTTTTTTCTGTTTTTTTCTTCTTTAGCAATTTGGCTTCTCTCTTTTTGTTGTGATTCTTTTTTGAATGTTTTATTTATGAGTTTATTGTTACTTAGCTTAGATGCAAAGTTTTTGTATCTAGGTATAATCAAACACTAACTGGGAATTGGCTAATCGAGAAGAGTAGGACTATGAAATTAATTTTTATAAATATATTCAAATAATCATCTAGGGAGCACGCGAGAATCGAAACCCTCAAAACAGATCCGGACATGACACACACACACACACACACACTGACTTGATTTTCAGAATATTAGGACACAGACCTGTCGGGATACGTCAATTAAAGTACTAATAAATTTAAATTTTTTGTAATGTATAGTGAATCAAACATTTCATACTTGTTGCATCAAAGTGTATGTAAAATAAATAGGACAAACTTGACATGAAGTTCATGTTTTCTCATAGCATGGAGTTCGCAAAACGAAAATGAAATAATTTCTATCGTTTACCTTGAGTTGCATCTCCAACATCATCATCCGTGTCATCGGTAAAGAGTGTTGCCAATACAGGTTTAACATCTTCAAATGAATCAAATGTATTAGTTTTAATGTCCAACATCTTAATCTTTCCTTGTGTATATTGTGGGCTCCTTGATAATAGACGAAGATTGCTATAAAAGTAGACTAAATTCTTTGCACATGTTGGAGCTATGGTATTCCTTTTAAGAGAATTCAAAAAGGAATAAGAATTGCATTTTCGCTCACAACACCGTGAAGATGTTTGTACAAATAACTTTAGGTCCATGTTGTAATGATATTGATAGTATCAAAGTCTTACTCACAATTCTCACTCCTTTTTCTACTCACATGCCTTTGATAGGCTGCCATAATGTTTCTGTATTGGCCTTTCTCTCTTTGAAGAAGAGTAGCTCTCAACAAATTATATTACAGAGGAAAATGTGATGATAAAAGGGCTATTGGCATCAAGACTATGAGAACAATCATAATAATAGATCCTTATCTTAGTCTCTCTGTGTATACAGTGGACTCCTCCTTGACAAAGAGAAAAAAATTGTTATGAAAGAAGGTTAAATCCTCTGCATGTGTTCGAGCTATGGTATTCCTTTTTAACATAATGCAAAAAAGGAATAATTACTCCATTTTCACTCTCAACAAGATGGATTGTTGCACAAATCATTACATGGGAATGTTTTAAGCATCTGTATATGAGCGCCATGAAGGACCTACCAAGTCTTTAGGTCACGTGATAATGATCATAGATATTATCAAAGGTCGTGTGAGTCGATCAAGCAATTACTCACAATTCTCACTTTTTCCCCCCCTACTTTTCCTTTAATAAGTTGCAATAATCTTTCAACATTGGCTTTCTTATCTTATTTGAAAAAGAGTAACTCTCAATGAATTATATTCCAGGGGTAAACATCCTCATAAGGGGCTATTGACACAAGACTATAAGAACAAATATTATAACGATTTATTGGTCAGTGAAAGAGCGGACTCTCTAAATGAACATTCTAGTAATTTCACACGCAGCTATTTGTTGTCATATTAAAAGTTTTCTCAATTGCATCTCCACTTCCTCTAGTCTTTCTTTTCTTTTGCTTAGTTTTATGAAAATTAGTATCAATTTTACTATCTACCCAATGACAATGGTTTTTGGTTCTTTATTTATCATTCTCAACTTAGCTGCATCTTTCACCTTTTGTTTTTTCCTTGTATCTTTTGGAGTAACTTTTGGACAAATCTCAATACCATTTCCCGATAATTTCAAGGAATGTGCCCCTACTCGTGTATATGATTTTCTTAGTTGCATTGCCAGTTATCACCGCCTTCAATGAGTTATATCATATATTGTCACGTATTTCTAAAGAGGCTTAGATATATTATCATCTACTCGCTATCTTGTTCTTGAGATGGAGATGGAAATTTTGAGAAAGCTGAAGTGAAATTAGGGCTGGACATGGTCTTCCGAACCAAAATTTTTGAGTACTTAATAAATGGAACCGTCGGGTCCAAATATAATTATGGAACCGTTCGGGTTTGGTTCGATTCCGTACCATAATTAAATTTTTTAACAGATTTCTAATGGTCAACGATCAGTGGTCGTGGTTGGAGGTCGAGGCTTCGATAGGTAGTTGGAGAGGGGAAGTCGGACTCGGCAGTTGGCAGCTTTGATTTAGGTTTGTAGATGTAGCTTTTCAATTTATCAAATGATTTGGGGTCAGTAACTCAGTGCTTCTATCGAATGAATGTGTAAAATTGGAAAGAGAAGAATAAAAACTTAAAAAGGCCTAAATCTTGGACTAAAAATGAAATAAATTTGCTAATTTATTTAAAAAAATTA